TATAGTTTTTAGGGTGTGCCTATTGCTAACATTTTACTAATTTAGTAAAGCTAAGAGATAATGAGAATAAAGCTAGCATGTCAGCAAAATGTTAAAAACAAAATACCCAGACCAAACACAAACAACAGACTTTCAGTTTCTAAAAAGTTAATTAAAACAACTCCTTCCCTTAATTACCTTATGGGGGAGAATCAGTGGAGGAGTGGCCTAAGGTCTACATTTACCTTAAATGTAGAGCTGGGGGACCAGCTCAGAGGTAGAAAGGAGCTTAGAGGGCTTCCTCCAAAATGCTAAAAGTATGTGCTTCCCACTCCTTCAAGATACACATGGGAAGCTGGGCCTGTATCCTTGTGGAACCCAGTGAAGAAACATCTGTCCAATGACGGGGGAATGTTTTCCACCTCCTTTATAAATGCATGCAGTCTGTGCTCATGTATATTTACACAAGCCTGCTTTCCCTACAGGGAGGAAAAAGTCAGACTCACTGACGTTGTTTTTGACCCTCAAACTGAACTTGATACTATCAATGTACACTTTAATTAAAGATTAGTTCAAAACTATTTTTTATTGAAAGGCTGATTCTGAACAAATGCCTTCACGGTTCAATTAAAACTAATATATGGTACTAAACAAAAAATGTACACATTGCTTCTTTCTGTGTTTGTCACAGATGTTTCCTTTCTTTTCAAACATGTTAGGAGTTGCTAGAAATTTAGTAATTTAAAAATAGACATTAAATGCATTTATACATTGTAAATAAAATCCACTGAGAATGCTGTGGAGCACTGTGCAATGAAAAAAGCAAATTGATACTTCATTATTTAATTATCTTTCAAGCTAATCAGTATCAATAAAGTCAAATCATCTCTTTTGTTAATGCAAAAATAACTTTCCAGCAGGGTTAGAATGCCCTTACTTTCAGAAACCTTTAAGAAATGTGAATCTCTGCGACCCATAATTCACAGGAAATATTCATTGAATGTTGTTCAATCATTTATAAAATACTATCTTTAGTTAGGATATGGAAGCATTAGATTTCTTTGAGTTAAAAAGTGACTTTTTTATGTCTAAGTTTTATTCTGGAATGTGAAACTCTTTTTAATTAAAGTACAATTGACACAATATTATATTACTTTCAGGTGTATAAAAAGTTATCACAAAAAGTCCACTATACATCTGTCACCATCCAAAGTTATTCTAATATTTCTGATATTCCCTGTGGTGTACTTTACATCCTTGTGACTTATAAGTTTGTGCCTCTTAATCCCCATCATCTTTTTGCCCATACCCCCACTGCTCAACCCTGTGGCAACCATCCATTTTTCTGTATGTATGTTTTGTTTATTCATTTTTCTACTTTTAAAAACTGAACTTTAAAAACAGTAAAAATAACTTGCTTTCACCACTATTAAGATTATGTTTGAATAGTTGTAACAACTATTCAAAGGTCTCCTATGTGCTTTAAGAATTTTTAAAACTTAAAAAATATTTTTAGTCACAAAACTCTGGGATGATCTTATGCAAATGATTTTAATTTTGCTGTGTTAAACCCAACCTCAGTCTAATTAATTTTATAGGCAAAATAAATAAATAAATAAATAAATAAAAAAATAAAAAAAAAATATATATATATATATCAGTGATTTAGGTATAATGTTAAGATTTTGATTTGCAGTTCCCAAAGAACCCTTTTGATATTAGGACACAGCACGCTTCATAAAAAGAAAAAGCAATTGTGGTAAGCAACAAAGTTTTTAAAAACAATCTTAGGTAGCTTTTGTGACTTCTAGTCTCAACTCTGTCCATGGCTTACTCTATCAACAAGAGTTATGTTAAGATCTAATTTATGAAAATTATATTTTCCATTCCAAAATGTTTACTTTGAAAGCTGAATCTTCATTACCCAAACAAATTTTAAAAAACAGTAGAACCATTTAAGATGAGAATACTAGCAGCCCATTACATGGAAGGGGAAGTGAATTTGCCATGAAGAGGCCCAGTCAGAAGAGCCCAAAGTGACATTATGGCCGTGAGGCAGAGCTGGGACTTGAATCCAAAAGCCAAGATCTCAACTACTCTACCAGGGGGAGTCTCAAAAACACCCTCAGGTACAGGGAGGTTAAAGTAAGGGAAGGAAGCCAGTGAAGATGAGATTGTTGTGAATTGGAGAGCACATGTGCAACTAAAGGCAGCTGTGAGCACTTGGCTCTAAAACAATGTAGCCAAGCAGATATGCTGAGTTTGAGAAATGAGACCAGCTGGCAAGCAAAATATCTAGGTTGTGAAATCATCTGATTTTAAAATATTGGATCAGTTTTTTTCTTTAAAATTCTATTAAAATAGATACAACATAAAAATCTGGTAATGCTAGTAAGGATATGGAACAACTAGAGGTCTCAGGCACTACTGGTGGGAATACCAAAATAGTACAGCCACTCTGGAAAATAGTTTGATATATTCCTATAAAGTTAAACATATACTTTCCACATCTAGCAGTCCGACTCCTAGGTATTTTCTGAGGTGAAATGGACCTATACTCACACAAGAAGCCAGACCTAAAGGCTACAAACTGTATGACTCTAGAACATTGTGGCAAAGGCAGAAGAGAGTACTTCCCAAGGACTAGGGGTTGACTACAAAGGGTCAGCACAAGGGAATTTAAGGTGTGGGGTGGGGAAGAATATTACAGAACTTTATTGTAGTAGTGGTTACATGACTGTCCGTGTTTATCTAAATTTACTGAACTATATACTCCAAAGGGTGAATTTAACTACTTAAATTATATATTAAATAATGAGGGAAATAATTTATTGTATGAAAAAAGCACTAATTATATAAAACCTTTTGTGTTATAATATGTATACATATATACAACTAAGCAATATATTTTCTTCACTGCTGTTTGATTATTTTACAGTATAAAGACAATGAGTTAAAATGGCAAATGATTTGACATATTTAGAAAAAGAGACAAATATAATTTTAAGACCTATGAAATTTACAGCACGCTAAAGCCATGTACTTTCTGGGAACCTAGACGAGAATTTCAAGGAATGATATACTATGAAAATATCTGGATTGTTAATAAGGAGTCAAGTTAAACGTATGCCCTTTATTGAGATAATAGATTTGAAAAGTGTTTTGCAGATTGCAAAGAACTCTACAAATATTAAATAGAATAGTATGGTAAAAAAAAAACAACAAGCAATAGGATCTGATTGGCTTAAATCTTGTCTCTGCCACTTACTAGCCGCGTGATCTTGGACAAATTACATAGTCAAGCTTTATTTCCTCAAGTGTAAAATGTCAAATCCTCAAAGGCTTTGCACTTAGCACATAAAGAGAGTTAAATACGTTATTTGTTACTAATTAACATAAAATGAAAATGTGAAGATTTTCGCCTATTTTTAATTTAACTGCAAATACTGGTTTCTTGCAGGAGTTAGCACAAATTTAGAATCATCACAGTATTCAGAGAGCCTACGTGAATTGGCAGCAGATAGGACAAGGGGGTGGTGGGCAGTGATTGTACTTGTTCCATCAGTCCTTTCTCTGAAACCTGACTTGGGCAACACAGCTGGCCATGGGCCAGCCACTGTTAGCCTCCCTCTGTTGTGCCCCCCCCCAGCACTCCACCTCATAGAATTGGATCAGGGTGAGGATGTGAGATGCCAAGGGTGCAAAATTGAAGGAGTTCTAAGCACATAGTCGGGCTGAGTGAAAAATCTTTGTTTCTGCTTCCTTTAAATTCTGAAAAGATTTACAGTTTGGTGGCTGATCATTAGCTTTACTACTGCTATTGTGTCCTAGACTCTATGTTTGCTACCTGTTTCAGATACTTGTTTTTGTAATAATTTAACCCTGGTTCCCCCCTTCTATTAACAGGAATCTCTCTTTGAAGGAATCTGAAAGGTTGTGATAAAAAATAATTTACATGAACCTAACAGTCTCCATAATCTAAAAGTAAAAGAAAATTTGTTTGGAACAAATGAGTCAACTCAGCCTTAAGAAGTCTGAAACGTTTGATTTTTTTTCACCCTTATGGAACTAGGCAACATCATCTTTCATGGTCTGTATCTTTATGGTATCTGTCTTCATTATATGAGAAAAACCTTTAAGTTCTTCGCTTCTTCACTGAGTCTGAAACATTGCTTTCCAATTGCTTTATTCATTACATATTACTTACTGGGAAAAATAAAGATGTGCTTTTTTATTCATTAGAAAGTAAATCTTTTTTGAACCAATGGTGGTGTGGTGTGCTTCTAAGTGTAAACCTAATTGCAATTATTGAGTGGGAACTGACCTAAAAGCCTGAGGACTATTTTGATTCTCGAATATACTGAGGTGTGGGGTGAAGATATACTCAAATGCCACCATTACTATGTAGTATTTGGTATTTCCAACTTGAAAATCTGTTGTAAAGTATGAAAGTGTCACATATACAAAAGCAGTTTTATGAATATCATAAATTTGTTATTCCGTCTTGACCCCAAGTAAGATTTTTAAATGTCCTGCCCTTCGTACTGTAGGCACTGTTTCAAGGATATACTAATTAGTTGCTAGAAAATCTTGTACGTCCCCTCAGACTTCGCCTCGGAGGCGAGGGGTCCCAGGCGCGCGGTCCGCGAAGGGCTAGGGCGCTGCGGGCCTGGGGCGCCTGGAGGGATTGGGCCCTGGGCCCAGCCACGCTTCCCGTGGGCCCCCCACTGGAAGACGCCTCAGCTAGTTCCCCGCAGGGGGACGCGGCCAGGACGAATCTTCCGGCCGAATAACGACACAAACGGAGCCGGGCAGGGTCAAGGGTCCGCACGCACACCGGGAAGAAGCCACCGCAGACCCGGGGCCGCTTACTCAGGTTTGGGGAATTTCCTCGTTTCACTGACAGCCGGAGTGTTCGAGGGGAGAGCGTTTCATTTCTGCGCGGTTCACACATCGCCACGGAGTACCGAGGTCGACGGACTGACTAGTGCTTTAAGTATAGGACAACGTGAAACATTTACCTCAGGCAGAAATAAAAGCCTAACGCAGCGCAGCGGCAAACTCCACACTGCCGCACGGAAAATTGAAGGTCACGCTCCACAAAACGGCAGTTCCCGCCTCAGTCGGTGCTCGTCTTACAGGCGCCGGGGCTCACCACCCTGGTGACTCTCAAGCCGCACAGAAGTCCGGCAGCTCAGACTCCCGCCCTGTCCCCCTCCGACCACCCACCCCGCAGGCGGAGCTCCGGAGAGTCCAGCCTAAGGAGGATCTAATCGCGCGGGGGTGGGGCCAGCAGGACTCCCCGCCCCCTCTGGCCCCGCCCCGCCCCGCTGGACGGTTTGCTTAATGCTTTTCGGCGGCTGAGGAGGTTGCTTTGCCTGAGCAAGGGCCCCGGGACAGCACCCCAGGTGGGCGCAGACCTCTACCGGGCTTGGCCGAAAACCAGTTCGGCCCGCACGCACGTCTGGCCTTGGGGACGCCCGCAAAAAAGGTGCGCCCACGTGGGGCTGGAAGCAGCCGTCGACTTCGGTTGGACGAGAATGGAGTGACCGGCGCGGCCCTGGCCAAGCACACCCTGCTCGACGCTCCTTGCCTGCTTGCGCAACGGAGCAAAGCCCCACACGGTCACCCGGGGAAAGGTGAGGGCCCGGGTCCGACCCCTGCCGCGTGGCGCAGTCCGGGACCTGGAGGGTAGCGGGTTCCTTAGTCCGAGGTGAGGCCAGGGGTTCTCTACTCCTGCCGCAGAAATTACCGTGGGCTCCCGCCGTTGTCCCCCGTGTTACGTGCCTCGGTAGCAAGTGGTACAAGGGGCCACGGGCGTGGGTACCAAGCTCCGCAAAAATGGTTAGCATCATCTTTACTGCGGGGCTGGCAGGAAACGCGAACAAATTCTGAAACGGAGATTCCTTTCCCGGCAGGGAAGCACTTTCAAAACTTAATTTGTCGGTGAAACGTAAAGCCAGCACGGCCCCTTCCTCGGCTTTCTAAAGAGCCCAGGAACTCTCAGTCCCCAAAGTCTCCCTAGACGCGGGGAGGCAAACGCGTTCCAATCAAAGCAGATTCTCAGAACTTGCGGAGCACTTCGGGCGGCCGAGCGGGCGAGCTGGAGTGGCGAGGGGGCGGCGCCTCCTCGAGTCGAGCTCTACCCGGCCCCCTGCCTCACTGCACCTTCGGTCCTTAGCAGGGCGCACGGCGCGAGACGTCGCCATGGACCACTGCGGTCCCGCAGGCAGCCCCCTGATCGCCAGCACCGAGCCCACCACCACTGCCGCCACTCGAGAATCGAGCCCCGGGCGGACAGGGTCAGGGCCGACGGGCACGGGAGGCGGTGGGCGCTCGGGGGGCGGCCGGCCCGCGGCAGCAAACGCAGCGCGGGAGCGCAGCCGGGTTCAGACTCTGCGGCAAGCCTTCCTGGAGCTGCAGCGCACGCTGCCGTCCGTTCCTCCAGACACCAAGCTGTCCAAGCTGGACGTGCTGCTGCTGGCTACCACCTACATCGCGCACCTTACCCGCAGCCTGCAGGACGACGCCGAGGCGCCGGCAGACCCTGGGCTGGGCGCCCTACGCGGCGACGGCTACCTGCACCCAGTCAAGGTAGGCCGGCAGGGCGCACTGCGGGATTGAGGCAGTGAACAGGGCACCTTGAATTGCCCTGTCTGCCAGCACCTGAGCAGATGCCACCGAGCTTTCACTCCTCCCTCTGGGTGAGGTGGGAAACAGATCAGTAGAGGGAACTTGGCCCGCGAGATCCCCACTGTAAAAGGGCTCTCCTTAACCGTTCGCAGCTAGTAGTGGGTTTCAGCCCACTACTGAAAAGCCTGGGGTGGCTGGGTAGGGGTGTCTCATGCTCCTTAGAGGATGCAACCTACAAGAGGCGCCTGCCAGATAAGAGGTATCTCGGGGGTGCCTGGTAAGAAGGTGCTTGGTTTCACATCCTGGTAATTTTTAGTATCAGAGGGTTTTTTTCTTTCTTTTTTCTTACTGATTTTAGAGAGAGGGGAAGGAAGGGAAAGAGGGAGGTAGGAAAAACGTTGATGTGAGAAAGAAACATGGATTGGGTGCTTTTTGTGTGGCCTCCAAACAGGGATGAAACGTAGGTGCGTGCCCTGACCGGGAACTGAACCCTCACCCTTCCAATTTCCAGCTGTCTGGAGGACTCTCCAACCAATTTAGCCACACCTGCTATGGCAAGCCTTTGGGTTTTTAAGTGTTTTTAATTTACACAATTACATTTCCATTGTCGTTTTTACCAGCTGTTTGAAAAGTTTCACAAATTAAATATTCATGAAATATGGAGCAATGGAACTATCTGACTTTAAGTAGTCCTAGGCAACCAATGTTGAATTTTTTTTTTGTAAAACTGGTAAGAACAAAATGAGATCATTTTGCATTCCCATGGAGTACATTTCAGTGCGTTTTAATAAAGTTTAATTATCATGGACTAGACAGCCACCAAGAGTGGTAGAAAAACTATAATGTGTTTATGTAATTTTTACAATAAATTGGTATATATGTTGAGGGAGCTGATTAAATACTATATTCAAATTTTGTAATGTACGGAGTTAGCCAAGAGAATCCGTTTTTGTATAATTTTTTTTACATTACATACAGATAGATTGGTTAGTATTTAGACTCTGCATTGTCCTTTTCTCCTAGACTTGTTTTGAAATTCTACATTGACCTGGTTTTCTGTTCAGGAATATGCTATCTTCCCTATATTTCCTAAACCTAAATTTTCAAGTTTTTGGTTCCACCATTCTGAAGCATTTGGCCACACACACACACAATTGTGAGTTAGCCTTAAGTATATCAGTATTCAATAAATTATTGAATAATCATTATTGAAATGTGGTAAAAAGTACACTGTCCAATATTAACTAAACTTAAAATTCTGTGGTGAAGTTTAACAAAATTTATTTCGCAAATATAATCGACATTATAGTCTTACCCTATTTTAAAGATTAAGGCTAAAATATGATTTATGTATAATTAGTAAAGTTCCCATTCCATTCATGTGTTATATACAGGTCAGAGCAAATGAGGGTTAAAGTTGTTCTTATGGAAAATAGTACAATAATTAATAAATAATACAAGAATAAATTGTGTTTTGCAAATTCACAACTGTCAACTGACTTTTTCTCCCTCTGTTTAACAATCTCAGCTGAAAAGTCATTCATTATTAAATAAGGGGTTTGTATTACAGTGTGCATTAGTTTGATATTCAAATATAATTAATATTAGATTTCTTTAACTTGACATTTTTAACAATAAGTAGACTTTACTACAAAAAGCATCTGTTAAATGCCTCTTTGTGAGAGATATAATTCAGATGAGAAATCAAATTGTTTTTCACCTTAGCTTCTCACACTGCTTTTTGAATAATCACAGAACTGTAATTTTCAGGTAACAATAAATTTAACAAGGTTTTTTTTTTTTGCCCTTGATTCAAGTACCAAGTACTTTTGTAGTCCTATAACTTTTGAAGAAAAACTAAATCTCATTTGTCCTCTGGATTGATTATTTTGATTTTAAAAGGCAACCCCAGGGATAATGAAACAAAATCAAGGATTACCTCTTAATGAAATAGATGATGGTTGAATAAGTGACTAGTCTGTTTTAAAATCATTTACTGAGCAACTATTATGTGCAAAGCACCGTGTTAGCAGAGTAAATACAGTTAAGGGTAAGGCTCAATCCCTGCCCTAAATGAACACAGGATGGAGACAAAAATAAAAATATGCAAGGAAGAATGTTGTGTGTGCCATAAGGGAGCTATAACCATGTGCTGTGCGGTTTTACAGGAAAAAGATTTTATATATAAATTGAAACCATCTATAACATTATTTTATAGTCGCTACCAAAAATGCTTAAATATTAATCTCTTTGATTAATGGAATACAAATAAAAATACTCTGATAATTTGTACTTTTTGATTAACTAAAGGTATTGTAACCCTTAATATTCCAAGGACCTTAGAACTAAACTGTTTACATGGCACCCAAAAAGGAAAGGTCTATTCTGAAAAACCTATTTTTCAGAATAGAAATGGAAATATGCTTTTCTATTACCATGCCTATTTGACAATAAATTTTATTTGAGAGGTTGTTCATTTTAAAGTGAATTTAAAAAGGTCACAATTAGAATACAAATATTGTAATACTGAAAGATTAGAACTGTGTCATGGCAATATATATAGACATTTAACCTGGATGTTCTAATATTTGTAACTTCCCAGATGTTACTTTTAGCTAGATAAAATGTTTAAATAGTTGAATTAACCACTTTGCACTGTAGTTCTTTGAGAAGTATAGACACAACACTTACCATGTATAACTTTAGAAGAATCTTTAAAGCCAAAGATCTTGTTTTAGGCTTTTGTTTTAAGTTTAGTTTAAAATTAAAACATTGTAGGTAGATATATTTTACTCCACTTAACTACATTCATTCTCTATGCTTTCTTGCTCACATGCACACATATTGTTTTACACAGTTATAATCAAAGTCAAGTTATATTTTTATTTTTATAGTTATCATTAATAAGTATTTTTTCATATTGTTCCTTAGACTTCAAAATTATAATCGTTACTAGCTACATAAGATTGCATTTGCATTGAGGTTATTTGGAATTATTATTATTACAGATTATCTTATATCTGTCATAGATACTAACTTTTATATTCTTATTTAAATATTCTTTTTCAGAAATGGCCCATGCGATCAAGATTATACATTGGTGCTACTGGTCAGTTTCTGAAACATTCTGTCTCTGGAGATAAAGCAAATCCTGGCAATATTCCAGCAGACTCACAACCTTAGGCTGTCCCCTGATGGGTGCTGAAAGAAAGTGGTGTCTATTGTTTTTAAATAGTATGAAATAAGTCTGTATTTATTACATCAGACATAACAAACATCATTTCTGAAAGTTTACATATGAATCCATAGTTAGGTTTTCAGATTTATCTGTCCAATCTACATAAATGTGGAATGAAATAATCTTGTATAGAACACACAACTTATCTGTACAGTGTGAGAGATAGTCTCTACTATATATAGCAGGAGAAACTATTGGAACAAAGAAAAGACACACAAAAGCAAAAAACTATATCCACATACTTTCTGGTTCTTTGGTTTGCAGGTCAGTGCTCAATCCACTGAGCCACAGCAGCCAGAGCAGAAACCTCACAGTATGCACACACTTTCTATAGTGTGTTTATTACAAACCAGTCTATGCTTATAGTTGGTGTAAGGAGCCATTTCAGTTGGAAGGTATGAGATAATTTATTCAGTTTCAGCCGAATATATGTGAAAAGACTGCTCTGGGCCTCTCCCTCCACGCTGTATGTCAGGTGCCCAAGGATTGTACTAACAGCTTCAGTTTTCAACAGGCTCTTGGGGCTCAGAGCTGTGAACCAGAGATGTTCGAGGAACATACTGAATCTCAAAACAGGGTACAATAGAAATACCTAAAAAAACAACAAAACTCATTCTCTTTTGTCATATCTTTGTTGACTTACATTTCTTTTTATTTCCCTTGTTTTTTCCCTCCGTCTCTTATTGTTTCACTTACCAACTGTAAAGTTCATTTATTTGTCAGCAATCCTGTTTTAAAGTTGCTGAATTTGATTAAAGATTTGCAAATAGAAAGGCATATTAATGGGCTTGGTTGAATTAATACTGTAGTGGAACCACCACTTTATTTTCTTCTCACCTCAGTTTTCCAGCTTTTGGCAGTGAAATGAAATAAAAGACCACCTGAAGGCAAAAACTATCATTCAGTTGATTCAGCTGAACATGGGCATGTTTTGGTTCATATCTGATAGTTTGGTATTTTTATTGTTTTAATGTGAATATCTGCTTGTAATGTGATGGAAGCATGTTTTTAAAAGAAAATATATGTAATGAAAGCTTTGTACATACTAATATGTAGCAAAAATATTTGTATATTTAAACATTTGTGAATATATTTACTCATATAACATTGAAAGGGATAAAAAATGAGAAATAGATTGAGCCACTTACTATTGTAAATTACTGGCATAAGAAGTGCTAAGAATAATCTTCAATTGTAAGGAGTAAAGTCACAACTTCTTTAAAGTTACCTGAAAATGAACTGTAAACACTAAATTTGATAGCAGGAATTTCAGAAAAATGGCCTTCTTGCTGATGATCTCTTTGACTGCAGTTTTTAAAGCACTTCATTGGGAAAAAACTGACTTTCATTCAATTGTAAGACTTTCCTAAGTCATCCTGTGAAATAGTTACTTTGTCTTTACTTCTTATTTCTTCTTGTCCAGTTATATATGTTTTAATGCCAAAGAAGTATATTTCTGTCATAGGTTTTCATAACTTTTTAGTGAATTGCTAAATAAATATGTTAACAGATTTTGGTAGGATAGAAAATCTCAGAGGAGAAATTGCATGTTTTCACCCAAAAGTTCAAGAGGGCATGCTGTTTTAATTAATGGTGCATGGTCAGGATAAGGAATATTACTAAAATAAAATACAGTGCTAATCTGAAAATTAATTTAGCATGTTTAATTTGCATCTGTCTCTGTAGCTATTTAACAAATACCTAAGGTACATTTAAAAATCTTTCTAGTAAATACCTACTTAGCATGAGCTTCTTCACTATGCTGTCCTTAATGGAGTATATATTCAGACTGGGAAGGGGGTATATTTGGATCAAAATATTATTCCATAATCTGCAAGGGAAACTCTCTTGACCCTCTGACAGTTAAATTTCTGTCAGTTCACTCAGCTCTTTCAGTGATAAGACATACACTTAAATCCCTCTATAGTGATAATTTGGGGAGAGAAGGAAATGACTTTTTAGAGACATAAGGTCCAACAGACTTTTAAAATATTGTTTCTTTTTCTGATTACAAAAATACAGTGAAGTTTATTGTATGGCAATTATACATCAGTAAGTTATCTTAAAAGTATACACATACCTCCTTCTCCTTTTTAAAAAGTCCTCACCTGAGGGGCCCTGGCTGGTGTAGCTCAGCGGATTGAGCACAGGCCTGCGAACCAGACAATCGTGGTTCAATTCCCAGTCAGGGCACATGCCTGGGTTGCAGACCAGTTCCCTGCAGGCCAGTTCCCAGCAGGGGACGCACGAAAGGCAACCATACATTGATGCTTCTCTCCCTCTCTCCTTCCCCTCCCCTCTAAAGATAAATAAATAAAATATTTTAAAAAATCCTCACCTGAGGAAATGTTCACTGATTTTTAGAGAGGAAGGGAAAAGAGAAACATCAGTGTGAGAAAGAAACATCAATTGGTTGCCTCCCATACGTGCCAGATTGAACCCACAACCTAGGTATGTGCTCTGACCAGGGATGGAACCTGCAACCTTTTGGTGCATGGGATAATGCTCTTACCAACTGGCAGCCCAGCCCGGGTATATACATGCCCCATTTAAAAAATAAAATTAGTAAAAGGAATGAAGTGGAAAATAAAAATCCTACAGTAGAGGTGGGTATCTGGAATCAAGTTGGGGATATCTGTTCACACACTACTTGGTAATAAAAAGAGTGGTTCTGCATTTTTATAAGGCTTTTTGGACCCCAAAACTTCAATCTGTATACAGATAGCACATATCCTTAACATTGATCTTATCTATTCATGGAGACTGTTTAAACTTAAGAGAAACTGGAAATAAAAATGCTGATTGACCTTACTGAAATGCACAGTAATTAGTTGAAATTGCTTTTTAGGTTAAATTACTCGATAATTTCTCTTTCTCTCAGAAGGTCTCATTTTATATTCACAAAATCAACTGACCAGTTATTGTCAATTAAAAAGAAAGTGCTCAGGCTCCAGTAAGGTTGGTAGTGTTCTCTCTCTCTCTAGAATAGGCAAAGGTAATTCTATATTTTCCAGCACCTTATTTAATCTTTTCTTTCATCCTCAGTGTATCATAATGTTATTCTGAGGAAATAAGCCAATAAAAACATCTCCATAGTGGCCAACATAATGCCCTTAGAAAGCAACACGTGAATTGTATTTAGCATTATTACAAGGCAAGTTGCTTGTTGGCATTATATAAACTCATATTCTTATCTGACAGAAGAAATTATATTGGGTTGGCCAAAAAGTCTATTTAGTTTTTTCCATAAAATAAAAGACACACTTCATTTTCACCAATAACTTTATTGATTTCAGTATTTTGAGTATGTCATCTATCTCCTGCATGGTATAACACTGCTTGTTCTCATTTAATGTCTCCATTTGATCCCTATCAACTTCAACAGGTCCACAAGACCATGGAGCAACTGCCCAGCGAGAAATTTCCAGCACAAAACTTTGCAAACCATGTTTGACCATTCCATCAGTCACAGTACCTTCTCCATACACTGCAAATTTTTGTGTGTGTTTTAGTTGTGTTTTTATGTTTCTTGAAATAATAAAGCATAATGTGTTAAAAATGTTGCTTATTTTCTTCCATCTTCAATATTAAAATGGCTACACAAAATTTCACCAATTTTGATGTTTTTAAATGAATGCTAATATGATAGCCATCACAATACAGTCTAACAAAATTGTTTCAAATTAAGTTAAAGACAATTAAGTGCTACTACAGCCATCTTACGGGGAAAAAACCCACAAACTTTTTGGCTGACCCAATAAATCAGATTGCTTTGATCCAAATTTACATATTAGATATCTTATTTTGAGAGGATGGCTTAATCTAAATATTTTTCCTGATACATATAAATTACTTGCAGATGATATCAATCATGTATTTTATTTGAAAATCTATGAACTTGGACTCTTCCAGAACTGACAGATTCTGTCTTAATTTGGTAACAAATTCTTTTTTTTCTTAATAATTACTAAGATATATTTACAGTTTCCCAGCCTCAAAGTTTCAAATGACTTAAAATTAGTAGTATACTACAGCCGTCTTTCTTCATGGTATACACTCTTTAGTTTTTGTTATAACTATAACTTAAAAAATATCCTAAAGCTAAGATTCCAAATTTTTTAAAGAAGCACTGGGGAAATATAAAATTGAATATCTCAAAGAAATTAATGTATACTTTTATTACATACTGGTAGATGGTGGTCTTATATGTAACTGTTTTACTGAAAAAAAAAATTAATGCCCCTTAAATCCCATAGATTTGTTTCCTGTAAACTTTGAGTGTGGCCTGGATGGTAACTGCACCACAATTGGGAATGAGGGACATGAAGTATTCATGCCTAACTGCAAAAACCTGGGGAAAGCTTCCCTTCCCGTGTTTACACAAGTCTTCATTTCAACTCATGAGAGGCCAGCTCAGTGAAATATACCTCAATCACTCAAATTCTTTCATTATAAATTATACTATAGCATTTAGCTGTCAGAAACTTTTAAACTATAAACTGAAGAGTAATCTTAACTATTAGGCTTATAGATTATGTCAATAGTTATTTCCTGTGCATATGAGTGTTACTGAAGAAACTCATGTATTCCTGTCCTCTCAGGACCAAGAAGTAAGTCCATGGGGCCCTCTGGGGCCAAACTTAAATCACTCGAGTCCATTGTTATGGCCATTGGAAAGCGGGGGCCATTTAAAACAGTGTGAGTCTAAATAAGAGTTGATTTTAAACATTCTTAGATAAGTTCTGAAATCACTCAATTTAAAGTTTTAAATGTGTGATTATAAGACATGTTAATACTTTACATAGATGGCTATATCTCGTGGGTCAAGTTTTTTAAAAAATCAAGTTGTATATAAAGAAAAAGGCCTGTGGAAGATTGTTTTTACTCTGTGTGCAGCCTGTCTGTGCCTTTTGCTGTTGTCTCTTTTGCCACTTAGAGTAAATTTATAGCGGTGACCGTATCTATATCAGAGTCCTTCCGAAAGGTAGGGTATAGCCAAGTGAAAAAGTGCTGTGCAATGTCAGAAACAGATCAGTCAAGAGAAGGAAGAAGATGGGAAGTGGAAAGCTATTCCCAGAGAGATCTGCCTTTCAGAAAGAGGAGGCCAGTTCCACCAGTGTCCAGTCAGGCTAGAAGTGTAAGGTGCTGGGACAGAGAGAAGAGGCCGCCTTGAAAAGGGGACCTGACTTCAGGACAAGAGCAGAATAAGAGAAAATGGTGTTCATTCTGGGCCACACCTGGCCAGAGAGGTCCAGAGAGCAGCCACAATGGGCCTCAGGAAGGACTAGGCCCAGGTGGTTCTGATTCCTCTAGGGATACACTCATTTCATTAGTGCCCTCCCTTCCCTTGTTGAAAGAAAGCAGAACTTCCTGTGAAAATGAATGGGAGGTGATAGCTGTTACTCAAGATCCACCTTTAGTCAAACTGAGGATACAAGGAATAAAGGGGGTAGGAAAAAAGGAATAGATTCTAGAGAGACTTAAATCCCACTTCCTTATAGGGGATTAGTTTGAGAACACCCACGTTAGTAAATTTCCTTAGGGCACCTAGTTATTCACTAAGGAGAGAAAGGGATCCTATCTTCTTAATTATTAAACTGATATGGTAGACTGCAGCCCTCCCTACTCACTGAATTTAGGGCCTCTGGTTAAGGGCAGATTCCTTCTAGAATGAAGGCATTATACACCTTTGAGGTTATAAAACTGACTCAGAATCTCTAGCAAGATAATGGACCTAAAGTTCAAACTTTATTAAGAGAGAAAATGGAATTCAAAATTCCAACAGTTTCTGTCTGTAAGAGCCTACATTGGAAGACTATAAACCAAGGTTTACTCTAAGCGATAAAAGAGAAGGGTTGGGCCAAGGTGCAGGCTGAGAGAAGGGCCACAGTGCAGACTTCATTGTCATCTGCCTTGAATAAGGTGGGGAAGCATAGACAGGAAATGGAGACAAGGGCTGGCCTTGCCACAGTCCTCTAGGCAAAGCCTGTGAGAATACAGGCCCTTGGAGAAGCCCTGGATTCCCCCCAGAGCCATGCCCATGTAGGGGACAGGGATGGTGGGACAAAGGGGCAAGGGGTGAGAGGTGATGGCTTAGGGAAGAGCTTGAGAGCAGCTGGCATGGGCTGCCAGGGGAAGAAGCTGCTAACAGTACCCAGGCCAGGAAACCAGGAATTGGGAGATGGCAGAATAGGGGGCCCCTCCAAAACAGGAGGTTAGAAACAAGACGCAGGGCCACAGCAGTGACACCCACACCACCTGGAAGTAACAGTCAGGTCTACAGCCAGAGGAAAGGAGGCAATCCCACCTCCCACCTCTTCAGACACATCACTTCTCCCTAAAACTAACCAGGGATGGAAGGGGAAAGGCAGATAAGAAGCCCACTGAGGGGAAAAACAGCCCTGATAGAGTTTCAGCTTCAACTAGACTGTATATTTAATAGTCTGCCTGTTTGACAGATGTTTTTCTCTTTAAGGGTATGGATTCTAGAACAAGAAAATATAAGAGATTGGATACAGGACATGAAGGAAGCTACTTTATTTTCCTCACATTCAACTCATGGTACAGACATTTCAACCCACTTCTACATATCTTATATATCTTACGACTATCTGCATTGACAATTTACAACTTAATTGTTCAGTATTCCATTTGTTTGACCTTACAATTTCCAACACACCTAAATGAGTGATTGTAATGATATTAAGGATATGCATGGACCTTGCAAATGGATTAGGAAGACTCAGAGAGCACGAGAAACTTGCCCAGGGTTGCTCACCTAGCCATGGCAGAGCCAGGCTTCAGACTCAAGCAGCCTGGCTCTAAAGCTCTGGCTCTTAATGGCTCTGCAAGGCAGCCTGCCCTGCTAGCTGCCTGGGAGCTTCAGGCACAGCGGTTTGCTACCCCTCAGTCTGGTTGGAAAACATCCTTCTTTGCTGTGGGTCTCTCATGGTAGTAAGGGTTTGGCCTCAACAAATTTCCCTTGCATTTTTGCCCTCCCATCCTTGGCTCACAAAGTTAATATAAAGTTATAGCTGAGACAATGCATGTAGGCAGCTCAGTGCAAGTCAGGCATGTTTGTCTTCTCTGGCTGGTTAGTGCTATTAGATGAAGGGTTAAAGATGAAAAAGTGAAGCCAGAAGAAAAATCTGAGAAGCTATAAAGGAAAAGATGGGTAATTCTGAATGCATAAAAATAGGTTCCTAAAACAAAAGGAAGCCCTGGCCAGTGTGGCACAGTTGGTAGGAGCGTCCTCCCATAACCAAAGGGTTACAGGTCTGATCCCTGCTGTCCTGGATGGGAGGCAGCCGACCTATGTTCTTCTCTCACTGTCTCCCTTCCTCCCTCTCTCTAATAAAAAAAACCCTCAGGTGAGGATTAAGAAAAAGAAAAGAAAAAACCATAAACTAACTGAAAACAAAACAGAGAAAAAGGTGGCAGCATATAGGATAGTCACATAGTAATTTCCTTTATACGAAATCAGCATTTACAATTTAAAAAGAAAAAGAAAAGCAACTCAGTAGAAAATTCTACAGATGGTATAAACAATTTATAGAAAGAAATCAAACAACCAATATCATAAGGGGACTAAATGGTGATGGGGAAGAAAAAGACAAAAGAAGAAATATAATAAAGATGAAAAATAGCCAATATCTTTATTAAAAGATACCCAAACTCATTCATTGTGAAGAAATATAAATTTAAACAGCACAAAGTAAGATATTTCACCCATCAGAATGATATAAACTAGTTATAATATAAATATGTTTAAGGATATAATATACAACATGGCGACTATACATAATAATACTGAAAGTTGGTATGATGGTAGATCTTAAAAGTTCTCATCACAAGAAAAAAAATATGTGAGATGATGTATGTTAACTGAACTTATTGTGGGGACCATTTCCCACCACATAGATATATCAAAATCATTATGTTGTAGTCCTTAAACAATGTAATATGTCAATTATATCTCAGTACAGTAGGGGTAGGATGGTTAACTGGATTCAGACAGTAAGTGATAATGGCTGATTTTCTAGCATACTGGAGTTAATTTGTTTCAACTAGTCTCATAATGTTTGAGTATGTATGTTTTTGATGAAAATAAATATCTGTTTTTTATCCTTGTACCCTCCCCCCTCACATAATATTAAACAGGAATGTGGGGGGAAATAATACAAATTAAAAATACCCAGTATTGGTGAGGATGGGGAAATGAGGACCATTGCACTTTGCAGTAGAAGCTCTTTTAAATGCAATTTGACAGTATCTCTCAATATTTTCAGTGTATACAGTGACTTAGCAATTCCACATTTAAAAATTTCCCTAAAGATATATTTACATTCACAAATGTGTATCTGAATAATTATTACAGGTATTCATCACTTCGTTTACCTCACAATTTGTAGATTTAACCATTTTCCCTGCCTTCGGTATTGGCTGTACCCAAGTAACCTCTCCAAAATGCAAATCTG